ATTAATTTCTTTATTTAAGAAATAAATTTAAAGATAACACAATCATAATATTAGATTTCATAAACCATGTTGCATTAAATAAAATTAATAAATCGCTGTACTTATACAAAAATTAAACGGATGAGATAATTTGAATATTCGGCACTTATCAAAAGAGTCTTCCTCTCTTATTTAAAATGTCGAAAGAATAGAAAAAAAGGAAGAAAGAACGAAATAAATAAAAGAAAGAAAAAAATTAAAGTATAATTTATTACTCCTCTACTTGAAAATCGCCAATAAGGTGCTAAACTTTTATTTTCGGAAAACTTATATTTCATGTAAATGTTCTAATTTGTCAACAATTCCCCTCCTTTGCCGCATGAGTGATTTTGAATACTCAACTGCGAGAAAACGATGACCCCTCCTCAACCCCTCACAGGAAGATAGTTTTGGACGAGTTCAATCATAGAAACTGCTTTCAGAAAACTCCCGTAATGAAGGGACACAAATTCTAGGACTCGATCGGAATCAGAGGGTTAATAGGGACAGATAGGCTTACAATATTTTAAAATTATGTCGATTAGGTACAGCTATTCTAATGAGTCTAATTCATTTTGAAAAATCAGCAATAATAATGCCAAAAATTTATAATAGTATTAGATAAATAATTGTTTTCAGGGAAAATTGCATATTAAACCAATAGAATAATTTTGGAAGGACCCGGTATACATTTGCTATTAAACAATTAATATTTTGAATTAAAATAAAGCTTATAATTATTTAATTCCTTATCTGTTCAAAAATTCAGGTATTTAGTATAAAAAAACTAAAATATTAAAAAAAATTTGCAAAAAAAATAATTACTGAAACAAAATTAATCAATCTAAACTAGAAAATAAAAACCATAGAAAAATTTTAATTGGGGGGGGGGGTTATTATAAAAAAGGAATCAACCGAAATCAAAAGTAATTAAAATCAATCAAAAATAAACACCCAATCAGTATTTGAAAATGAAGGAACCTTTAAACAAAAAAAAAATTTATTCGACATTAGAAAATCGAAAGTAAACAATGAAAGTGAACTCAAAACATATCAATTTTCTTTAATTATCAATTTTAAAACACTAACTTATTCATATTAACCTAAAATCATAAATACTATTTTATTCTCTAATATGCAAGGAAAAAAAATCAGTAGGACTCACCCTTTTCATATGAAATTACACTTTTTGTTGCTTCCCCGAAAGAAATGCAACTTGCAAAGTTGAAAAATCACGTTCTGGTTTTGAAAGAACCACTACGAAAGTTCTAAACTTCTTGCAATAACAGGCTTGGAATATTTAACACTTTTCAGAAGGAAAAAAACGCAATTGCTTTTAACCAAACCATAAAAGGATCTAAGCTTCGTCACATTTAAATACAACTTTCATCAAAAGTTATCACTTTTTTGAAATATTCAATTTTTTGTAACATCATCGTTGCTACAATTACTATACGAGTTCTTCATTTATATATTCAGTCCCGCAGTGGACTGATCATTAAGACACGGTTCCCTGCAAATCACCGAAGTCAAGCATCACTGGCTGCAGTCAATGTGCGGGTGGGTGACCACTTGGATCAGCCTGCGTAGGGACCGAGGGTGTGCGGTATTGGTCCTCGTTAAACTATTCTACTGTAAAGTGCTCGACTTCGTGTGCAGGTCGTCAGGCTACCGAAGCGGGGGTGCCACCCCCTCTGCAGAGGATCCAAATTGTGATGGCATGTCTTCGCATCATCCTCAGGGATGTTTCCCAGAATGTCGTCAATAGCCCATTACGTAGCTCTAGTGCGACGTAAATGAACAACATGAACATCAATCATTTATACATTCAAATGAACATTGTCAAAAAGGGCTACTACTTTTAAAAGCGTGGCATAATGTATCCAATTATTAGTACTTTTCCCCCAAATAATACATTTCAACTTAAGTAATAAAACATCTTAGATACCCTGCCCTTTTCTCAATATTAAAAAAAGTCAACTTAAATTAAACTTTGCATAAAAAATTTAACTTATTTTCCAGCTTCTCTCTTTCTTCCTCAAATTTTATCAAGCCAGTGGTAGCTTAATGGTTACAGAATCGGACTCCGGTCAGGAGGGGCCAGGGTTCGTTCGCTAAGATCCGCTGAGTAAATGCGACGTACGTGCTCGCAAAATCTATGGAGTTGAAAGTTCTGTGGTCGGTCACTGAGCTATAAGTACCATGGGTACAGGGCTTTGACAAAAAATTCCTTCCACTTCAGATCTATGTCTAAATTGAGGAAGTCGCCTTGTAAATAAGATCCCCTCTGCAAGGGATCAAACATTGCGACTTCGGATCATTCTCAGGGATGTTTCCCAGACCGTCACCAATAGCCCATTGAGCAGCTCTAGTGCAACGTAAACAAAATACCTGATCTATAGTTTGTCTAAAGTAAGAACTCCCCTAATCATTCGTCTGGACTAGTGGTGGTGACTATGGCAACGAGGAATAAGTATTTCAAGTAGGGGTGTGAGCTCACTGTTTAGGACAGGTTTTGACTAGGGTCGGCGAAAGAAAGGGGATCTTTTTCTTCGGCCTATTGTGTTAGCTCTAGCGTGACATTCGAGCCTGAAACATTGTTTAGAGTATTCAATTCCTTTTTTCACTTTTTCAAAGATTTCGGGGTCGTTGGGCTACCGAAGCGGGGGTGCTATCCCCTCCGCAGAGGATCAAAATTGTGATGGCATGTCTTCGGATCATCCTCCGGAATGTTTCCCAGACCGTCGCCAATAGCCCATTGTGCAGCTTTAGTGCGACGTAAATTAACAACAACAACAACAACATCAAAGATTTCGGAAAAGTTCTTCAAAAAATTATTACACATTATGCACAATTTTATGTGCTTGTGATTTTAAAGCTTCACCTTTTTTAAATTAAAAAAACATCTTTAGAAAATAAGAAAGAATTTATTAAAAATCCGAATCTGTCGGGGGAAATAAAGGTGTCTGTTCGAAGAAAGTACGTTTATGTGTCCTACTTCGTGACTTAAATGTTGTCTGCATTAATTAATTAGCATATCCATTAGATTAGAACCATTAAGATTGTGCCCTAGAACGTGAAGATCAGATTATTAGATCAAAAGTTAATCATGGTAGTCCGTTTTTTTTTTGCGCGTGCTGTACATTTCTCGATGAACGAATGGAAAAACAGCTGTCTCGACCAATGCGTGCAATCCAAAAATTTATAGTAAAAATAAGACATGAAATCTCGAACACTTTTACAACTACAGGTAGAGCAACATACCACTCTTTGCGATTTCTCGGCCGCCATTATTAATAGAAATCCTAACTGCAACTGTCAGATAAACGAAAACAAATCAAACTTTAGTAAATTAAAAACGAAACCAAATAGTTGCTTTTTCCATTTTTCTTTATAGTATTATTTTTGTATTGTTCTTTTTAAAATAAATTATTTACTGCAATCACTATAAGCATGTCGATTGTTTATGTGCATTTAAAACGCGATTTTTTCTCAATAATTTATTTTTAAATAAATTTTATTAATGTATCAGAAATATGTATCGGCTTTTCAACGGTGGTGAATTTATCAAAAAATAAACCAATGCAATATGTACTTCATGTTTGCTAGCTATTTTTTGACATTCAGAAGTTTCGCAACCTTTGAAATGTAAAAATATGGATGATTATTTCATATTGGAACTGTACCGTGCGGCTTTTGTTTTCTGTCTATATTTTCTTACTCTAACTTCTTATTTAACACCTATATTTATAACTAAATATTGGGGCTCTCAGATTCAACAAATAACTTCCCCAAATAGAGCAATACGTAGAAAACAATTATGCTATCGTATGATCAGTTGGTTTAATTGTACCGCTCTTGGAATATTTTTAGGAATGTGTTTTTTGAGTATTTTACCGAATGTGCGAGAAGTGTTTCAAGTATTATTTCATAAATTTGAAAGCAGCACCAAATTTCCAGTTTCAGAATGTACTGTTATAGTTGGGTTTATTCTTGTTCTTTTAATCGAACAGACTATTTTAACTTTGAGGGAAAGAAGAGAAATGAATGAGCAAGATGATTTTGAACAAAATCAAGGACTTTTAGAAGAATGTGAATTGCAAGAAATTTTAGATGGTCTTAGAGAAGAACAAGAATTAGTAAATGGCATGCAGTGCAAACCATTACACCACTCAAAGTGTTCAGACGAAATCGATCAAAGCAGTGATAATTTATCAATCACTAACCGCATTGATCATAGCCGAGGACATAGCCAAATATCCCTTTTAGTTCGAGGTGGCAAAGGAATAACTTTTTTTGCAGTCGCTTTAGCTGCAGGTTTTCATTCAGTATTTGAAGGAATAACATTAGGACTACAAGTCAATAAAACTAAAGCTGTTCATTTATTTGTAGCTATGACTATTCACGAGTGTTTGACTGCAGCTGCTTTAGGTATGAATTCAACAAGGCTGAGATACTCTTTTTGCACTTATTTTAAGTTTGCAATTGTTTTGGGTGTAGCAATACCTCTTGGTGTTGGTATCGGTATTGGAGTTGGTCATGCACCTGGAACTGCTGGAGAAATAGCATCAGCTTTGCTTCAAGGTACATCGGCTGGTATATTTTTGTATGTTACTTTTCAAGACTTTCTTCCATCTGAGTTTTCAAATAGAAAAGATAGGATTTTAAAAGTGTTGTTCTTGATGTTGGGCTTTCTCATATTTTCTGGGGTTACTTTTTTTATTTCCTAAAAATTTTTGGTTTTAGTAATATTTATTGCATTAAGTTTATTAAATCTAGTCATTTATTACTTTTCATTCTAAGTTGCAGTTATTTATATACAATGTTATAAATATGAATCATTTTATTTAAAAGAAAGTTGTGTTCATAAATATGGTTATATTTTAATAAATTTTTATATTTTCCTTTTAAAATTGTAATGATATTCAATAAGTGTTTGATTATTTTATAATTCAAGCATAAATTATAGTTAAAACAGTTCATGGAAAATTGTACAATATCAAATTATATGTTAGTTTAACAAAATACAGAAATAAGTCTAGCAGGAGAGTATTGTATATGCCCAATAATCTGTAAAAGATTAGACTCTCATAAAAAGAAATATTGTTTAAAATAGCAAAGATGTATTTCAATTAAAAAAGTAACAAAATGAATAAGTTAATTTTAACAGTCTTTATAGTGTTTATTCTCAGAAATACTTGGCTCTCCTGCTATAAAATTTCTGATATCAATTCGACTAAAATGAAGACTTGAATGGTCACTAAAAAGTGATTGATTGTTATATATAAATTTAGAAAAAATTTTTAAATTCAATTTAAGAAGTATTACATATTTTTAAATTAATTTATAAAGTTTTATGGGGATGATTTTGGTATTGGTACCTGTGCTCAAAATCAGACAACTGAGCAATGTCATCAATGGGGGAGGGACAAACATTAAAGGCAACTCAAGAAAAGAAAACTCAAATTATAAAATTTTGGGTCATCTCAAAGCAACCATTAATTCAAATTACAAGGAACATGCAGTGACTCTCTGGACATTGGAGTTGACCTGACTTGGTACCAGAGTACCTGACTTGGTTTTTTGAGATGGAATCTAATGAGTTGGTTATTGCTATGCTATTGAGAATGTTCCATTGAGTACTATACTTTATACACTTATCAATGTGCAATTTTTTGATATTCTTAATACAGACATGTGATTGCTGGACAAAAAATTATCTAAATTTTTTTTTTCTTAATGTGCAATTTTTTTTTTGTAACTATTTTTTTGTGCACAGAATAGAAATATAAGACTGTCATTTTTATGAAAAAAGTAACATTTATAAAATTTTTTAATTAAAGGAAAAAGAATTATCTAATCTTATTTTTTTCTTATCTTATAAAATTCTCTCTTATCTTATAAATCTTATTTTTTTCTCATCAACCCATAAAAGAAGGTATACATAGAAAAAAATTACATGTTTCTCCCTTTTCTAATTTTATGAGTTGTCATCACATCAAAAAAATAAATAAGTAAATGAAAAACCCTGAAATCAACAACTAAATAAAGAAAATGATTTATGTGATGAACAATCAGATGTGTCACACAAATCAGACATGTCAAATATAGTACGTAAATTGTACATTTCGAGAAAATGTACATTTCGAGATACAGATTTCGTTATAAATAAAGTCTTAAAAATATAAAGATTTTTAAAAAATCAGTAATGATAACTGATACAAATTTTATTGAAAAAAAAACGATAGAATTATCTCTTAAAATTGTGAATACTCAGCAATGTGATTCAAATTTCCTGTATCTTTATAATATGGGCATTTAAAAAAATTCCTGAGAAAATTAATAGTGATAACTGCCTCAATAAAAATAAGTAATAAAATCACCCCAGGGATTTAAACAAAAATCGAGTGTATCAAAAAGTAATTACAGAAATATGCGAACAAAATTTCTCGTTCTTAGTAATACTGTATGAAAACATCAGGTTTTTTAAAATTATATGTATGTCAGTAACTATAACTGTGAAAAAGTCGATGGAAAAAACAATATCATTGCGTCAAAATGTAATTATGAATGCACTAATTTAATTATATTATATTAAAAAAATATAGGGATTCAAAAAATGCTGAGAAAACAATCAAAACACCACAAAGATTTATAATAGTATTGACGCTAAAAGAACACATCAAAAAGTGAGAGAAAAAAATCAAACCACGAATTTACGATGGTATGGACTGCGTTGAAAAGTGATTTCTAAAATTCGGAATTTGAAATTCGCACGTTGTAATATCCTATTAAAAATTAAGTCAATCTAACTGCCTGCAAACAAAAAATAGAGCAAATGTATCACATTGATTAAATAATTCTTCTGTTGCAAATCAAAATTTGCAACAAAAATGCTACTCTTTAAAGTATAAGTTTAAAAAATATGTGAAAAAAACGCAATTTTTTTCAAGCGAATAATCGTTTAAATGTTTAGAATTTCCGAATTACATTTTAGATTATCAATTTTATACTTTTATGTTTGCCTTAGTAGTTCATTAATTTCAATTTAAGTTATTGTTGAATTTTTGTTCCCAGTCTCGAGTTCTCTCTAGCATATGTTCTGCGTTTTTCTCTAATAAATCTGTACACTAAAGTTATCATGCGTGAATGAGAACTTGGGAAGAAAAAAAAGAGGGTGCTGGTAAGGGTCGTATAAATGTCTCATTAGCAAGATTTTACGCTAGTAACAAAATTTAAATTTTAGACTGTCAGAATTTGGAGAAAATTTTATCTGAATGTAAATTATTAATTCGCAGAAATCCGCCATTTATCGATCTGGAGATTCGCGGAAATCCACGAGTTAGCAGAAGAATCACATGCCTGTTAATAGATTTCATTATCTTCATGTTATTTTTTAAAGTGTTTTATGTAAAATTGTTGATATGCATGTTTGTAAATCTTTAAAAAAAGTAGTTTATTTGAGAAAAAAAAATTGTTTTAAGAGACAAAGTTACCATAATAAAATTCTTTATATTTATAAACATATATTTTTACAACATATTATACTTATAGCAATAATTTACTTGAGAGGTAATAAAAACATGTCTCTAAATTAAAATCTATTATACATTAAGAAACAAATTATAGCAGTTTTTCATAATAGTCTTTAAAGTAATAGTTTTTATCTTAATTTATAAACATTCAATAAGTTGTTTAAATGTTAGCACTCATTATATATTTTATGCTTAGTTATTTTTAAAATATCTATAGTTCATTGAGTGTTGTATTGACTAGCCCAGATAATTTAAATTTCAGATTTTTGCACTTTCATTCTTAAAATATCATTTTTAGCTGTTGACTATTAGGCATAGATGCATACATGTTTATTAATTAGAATAGACTTTCAGTATTTTAAAATAGTAGTTTTAAATAAATATTTAAAAGATTTCTAATTACCAGTTAAGTACTATTGCACATCTTCAATATTTAGCGTAGTTCTTAAAATATACTATTCTACATTTTTTCATTATGTAATATAAAATGCAGTAATTCAGTTTAATATCTAATTCAGAGGTAAGACAGTTTAAGGATTGTGGTCCTTTGCCAATGGTAGGGAGGTGGCCAGGATTTATTTTTGAAGGGATTGTGAATTTAAAAATTTCTTTATACAAATGTATTATAACTTATTCTTCATCTACACCTCAAAACGTGCTTGTTTAATAATAAATAGAAATTGTTTATTAAAATATTTTTAATGAGTACATATTTATAAGCAAATTTTAAAAAATGGTAATTCTTTCCTTTTTCTGAAAATATATTAGCACTCTGAAATATGTATTTTTCAAGTCAAGAGTATTTATTTCGCATTTACCCATTTAAGAGGTGTCGCAGCTTCATTAAATATCTCCTAGCCTGTGAGCCACATTGCAAAAGTAAATTGTTAACACAATGCTTTGGGAATTAATAAAATTGTGGCTGCAAAAATCTTTAAAAGTTGAATGATGTATTAGAACTACTTCTGTCAATGAGAACAGTAATTGAAAGTTACTTAATAATATTATGATCAAAATTTTATTACTGAAACCATAAAGTGATAAATATTTATAGAATTTTGAAATAAACTGAATTTTGCTCTCAAACTAACACATTTATTTTTTTGCCGATTAATATCCCCACTAGTTAGATGTTCTAGAAAATTATTTCAAATAATTTATAATAAAATAAGATAATAAAATCTATGTCAAGTTATAAGCTGCATTATATTCAACTGTGTTGTAACATTTTATAACCTACCATAGTTTCTTCCAATATTGTGATATAAAAAGCACACTATAACAGTATTTCAAGTTTTATAATAGCTTTCCTTTTAAAGTAATATCTCAAGTCAAAGTATTTTCTTGTTGAAATTCTGAACTTAAGACATTTTGCTAATTAAAAGTTTATGTAATAAATAATGTCTTATTATTTAGTATTTTTAACCTTATAAAAAGGATGGTGGGTTATTTTTATGATGAGAAAAAAAAGAAAATGGAAATATAAATTTTTTAATAAATAATTAAAAGTATAAATTTTTATTTTTTATAAATATTAGTAATTATTAGGTTAACTGTGTGCAACATTAATCATCCAAGAAGCACATAATATTAATAAATGACCCATGATATTGTGTAATACTGTGAATAAATATAGCTTGACATCTTATTGTTGCTATCTTGAGCTCATCTGTATGCTATACAGTAAATTTTTAGAGTCAGTACATTATATTATTAATACATATCCTCATGTATTTTTAATTTTTGAAGTCCACTTTTTTTCACTTTCAACATTATTTACTGTACTTTATTATTTCTGTGCGAATTCAACTGATATTGTTATCTTTAAGATAAATATATAAAATATGAAGTAAGCTTTTACTCTACCTTTGATTAAAATGAAACACTGAAAAATATTCAGATTATTTCCATGTATTGAACAATAACTGTTATCTTTGACAATCGAAATCTCATTTAATGGAGTGAGAAAATTATACATTTTAACTCAATTTTAGAAATCATTTGTGAAAAACAATCATTATCTTTAGATTTTTAATCCACTCTACTACCAAATGTTTAAGAAGTTTTTAATTAAATATTTTGAACTAAAAACATATACAGTAAAATCTGTTTAAGATGTTCTACATAGAAAAAGAAAGAAAAATTTCTTAAACGGTAAAACTTTTTAACCATGTAGGCATAAGACAAGTAGATACGCTAGCACCTTATAATTAAAGGCAAAAAATTCCTCTTTTAAAAATGTGAAGGATATTTCAAGGTAGCCTAAAGTTTTT